CTCCAAGTTAAGATACTCGATCAAGTTACACAAAACTTTCAAGACTTCGATTTACTCTCGCTTAAAAGAATTTTTATAAACAAGCTTACCCTCCAACATAATTAATTTTGCAAAGGACTTAATTAGCCAATTGGAAATCAACCATTTTTGCAAAATTTACTCTCTCACCCTATAAATAATATTCGCGTATAAATCTTGTGATATTCGCGAAACGAGTTTTCTTCGATGTCACAATAAAACTTACGAAAACTATAAATTTGATAACAGTGCCATTATTGAAAAGTTATGTAAAAGGGTTGCGATATTTTCAAGGAGTTTCGATCAAAACGAGAACGTGCTATCATTTATTTAATTCCGACGTTTTCCCCTATTTTCCGGTAGGCTTCTTCAGGAAATTAATAATTGTCTGGCTTAAAATATGCGGCAAGTCGTCAGGACTGAGTCTTGGCGATAGTATCGCACATTTAAAGTAACTCAATTTTACCCAATTTTTAAAACTTTTAAGATTATTGATGAAGTTGATTGAAAAATTCTTTTACTTTTTTAAAAGAACAAACAAATTATTCTTGTAATTAGTAGTTTTTTAATAATAATATCATGAATTACTTAAAGTTTTTACTGCTGATTTTGTATAAAAGAAAACTTCATGATACTTTTAGCTACAAGACGATAATACTTCTTCTAAAGTTTTATGACCTCTCGCATAAACAAGAGTTTATTGAGAACCTAAAATCAAACTAAGAATTTAAATTTTACAACCGTTGTTTAGGACTTTTTCGTCTTGATTTAAAAAAAAAATTACTGTAAAAAAATATTGTTTTTAAGGAGCTTGGAAATATTTTTTTTATAGCAACACCCCGACACCAGTATGATTTTGGAAAATTATTGAAATCACAGATTTCAAATTCGAATTCGAAAATGCCTGTGTTTTCACAATCAAATTGGAAAAAAATCTTGTATGAAACAAGATGCAAACTGGTTGTTTTTCGTACACGATGTGTTGTAGTGAAAAACACGCTCATTTTGCAAATTGTTCCATAAATATCTATTTTGTAATTTGCCTCCATTTTGGTTTTTTAAAATATGTACATACTAACGAACCCAACTTCATCATGTGCGATGTCTTAACAGTCATTAACTCATTAATTATTGACGGAAAATTTTACGAAAATTTTTAGGTTGGCAAATAGCTCGATGTGCCATGCATGTCAGTTTAAATTACAATATGCGTCAAGAATAGGAAGTGTCCAGTGGAAAAATTTGGTAACACGATTTTGATTTCACGTATTTCCGAGGCGTACAGGCAAGATTATCTCCATTATCTTTTATATTCGTGTGTTTTGACAGAATTTGGATAAAACAAAAGGCGATTAGATTAAATTTTGGTTTTTAAAATTGACATTACTAATCATTACAACAATCCCTAAATCGAATAAAGTAAAAATTATTGTTTAAAAACGGAATAAAAGAACAAGTTACAAAAAATAGTATAAAAACTTGTTTCATAAGGCCTTGAAGCACTCATTCTTTAAAATAACTTGTGGCTGCGCCACTCGTTTTTTAAACTTGAATTCCTGTTTCAGACTGGTCTTATGAAACTTGTTTTTTATTTAATATACTATTTTACGAGTTTCACACAAGAACTTTCAAAACTAAAAAAATTCAAATGAATTTTTTCATCATTTTGTAATTAATAGAAAATTGATTTTGTATTCAGACAAAATTTTATAAAAAGGTTAGCAGTTAAAGTCATTAATGTTTATCCTATGAATAATTTATAATAAAGTTGCACAGCTTATTGTCATCTATTTTTTGGGATTGATGACCAATTAATGCTGCTTTCTGTTTCATCAGAATTGACATCAATCTGTTTAAACAAAAAAAGAGAAACTTTTAATAAAAAGTCTACGTCTAAGTCTATGTTTCTTAAAACTTTTTTGTTTATTTTGGTCCATACTATTACCTAAATGTTTTACAATCTTTTTTCAACACCCTGTATAACTAATGTTAAAAATGTTAAATAAACAACCAAATGTATCTAACAATTTTTACTACTAGTTTAAAATTTAAAATTTTGTAATTTGTTATGAAAAGCGAGGAGTGACGTAGACTTTAGGTATCTACGAGTATCATAAATGTAAATAAAAATCTAGAAAAACATTGATTATTAATAATTTCTTGTTCCCCATAACGCAAAACTTGTCACTTTTAAAATAAGAGTTTTATATTCGTAAAGTGGCAATCATAAAGAGTCACAGTTAGATAAATAAATATTTCAAACAACTGTAACAAATTGGAATATAAAATAAATATAAAATAATCTATTTTGCAATATTCCGTTATCCTAATCTCATGCTGGCGAATGAAATTCAAGCAACTTTGTTTCTGGAATTTCTTTTAGTAAACAGATCTCTTTATAAATATCTCGTTTATGTGATTTGCAAATCGTGTTCCAGCGGATTGAATTTGATTACACTGAAGAGCGGCCATTGCACGTATTTTAATGTCGCTTTAGGATGCAGTAATCCAGAGATGACATCAAGCAAAAAGTTCTCGTTTCCGACATGAGGTTTAAAATTCGCTTCTGCTGTCAACTTGTGTATTCTGACGTAACGTAACGATCAAAACGTCTTTGTTTAAAAGCACCAACTAAATTGTAACATCGGATCCGACTGCATAAGTTAGAACAGCTCGCTGTTTTGGTGTAATAGTCTGAAATTAGCATATTAACTCAAGTATAAAGTAAGACCTGGTTGGCAGAATAATCATTGTTAACAGCAAGCCGCGGTGCGGGTATGGATAATGACACGTAATGAATGAAAGTGAACCTAATGAAGTGGCTCATGCGTAACTCCAAGCACTTTGAGTCTTCCTTTGCCGGTTTAAAATAATCCACTCGGGGTTAACCTAAGTATTGAAGGCGAAACGCTCTAATTGCGCCAAATATTTTGACCCAATATCCGAGGAGATGTCCATAAATTCTGCTCTCTCCAAGAAAAACACAATCGACCACAAGTACCAGTGACATATTTGCCATAAAATTCTTCATATACTTTTTCATAAGCCACCAAATGAAAATAATAAAGCCGCCATTATTTATCGACAATGGTCGAGTTCTCCTGCTTAGAGACAAGAAATTTCAACGAGACAAAGGAACTAGCAGCAAATTTCACTGCGATTGCTTCAAACGGGACGGAAAAGTCCCACCGCTAATTGAATTAAAGCAAATCCACATCCTTGCATTATTTTTCATTCTGTCTCGCAGTTTCATTTCGTCTTAATGCCCCTAATCCCTTTGCACTAGTACCTACATGGCCCATTTCCACTTCGTTATTTCTGACTCCTTGTGATAATACGAAGGTCGAACTACCACAACCGAAATTACTTCATTTTATCAAAGCTCTATAGGCAAATAGCACCGAAAAGGTTTAGGTTAATCTACGTTAGTCTTGAAAACACCACTAAATCGTGATATTCAACATTTTTTATTCTGTTTAAAGCCAAAAAATCATTTTGTCGCATGAGAGCTTAAATAATAAAAATAGAAAAAATATTTTTTGCGTAAAAACTAAACTTAATAATGAGTTAAAATTAGATACCTAGTAATTAAATAAAAATGGGCGGGTCTATATTGATCCGAACGCTAATTATTTAATAAACTAGGTTATCGAATTATTGGTTAAGCTTCGAATTTAATTAAAGCTGGTTTATGTAATTGATGGAATGATTAATAATTAAAATTAGAAAATATATAACCTTTCAATAATAAACGAGTTTTTTTAAAGATTTAAAATGAAATTGAGATTTGCGCCAATATTTGCTCAATAAATTAGCGCGTAATTATTTCGTAATAAGCTGTGTTTCCTCAAAAGATTAAATCATGCGTTATGGGGTAAAAGTAAATATCATATTGAACCCTCTAGCGGCGGATCCGTAATCTCTTTGCGGAAAATTAGGCAATCTAGATAATCGTCTTTGATTTTGCGATAATTACGATGAGATAGATAGAGATTTCGAGGGATCACAATTTTTCTAGCTTAGGTAATTTAAGTAAAGAGCTAGAAAAATTTTAATTAAATGACATTTTTCCGACCTTAAATAATTTTCCAGATACATATACCACAACAAACAAATTAAAACTTTAATTGTGTGTACTGTGAAGTTTGCGTAGTGACAATTTTAATATCAAAATGCGAATACAACAACATCGACTTAGAGTAACTAAAAATATTATTTCATTTAAAAGTTTGTGGGCAATTTTAAACTAACATAAAACTAATTTCCATAAATTACAGTAACCAAACATTGCACTTCGCATAACTTATATTGCCAGTGCGAGATAGGGGTTCTGTTGTGATTATTAGCCAGATGTAATTTTGTTAATGTCTAAAATATGTGGTAGACAACAAAAACAAAAATGATAAGGGTTAACAAAAGATATTCATTATATTGTAACAAAAATCTGGGATAGGGTAGAGTATGTTATCAGCACAATTGGGTCAACAACGAAGATAATTCGCATGGATAACATGCGTAAACGGTAGAAAAGGTGGTTTTAAATTATATTATTGTCAAGTTAAAAACAGCTTTCTGAATGCTTATTAAAATATCGAGAAGTTTATTTTGTTCAAAACTCTTGACTTTATGTAATTGGAGTTTTAAATAAAACTTTGGAACTTTTTTTTTAAATCAAAGGAGGACGCTTGTTTACGTTTTATTAGGTTTTAATTAAAATCTTAAACCAACTCTTTTTACAAGAATTACATAAAGATTTTTAGTAGGAATTTCCCATTTTCGCTCATAAAACTCCCAACTAGTAATAAATTTCGTATATTCCAAATTAAGCAACACGTTGGATCCTAACCTGGCCTGACTCGACCCAATTTCATTTCCACCGCCTTTAATTGATTTAAGCATTATCAAGTTATATTAAGAATCTTATTAGCCGGCGTGCAATAAATTTCTCACAATTTCCTTATTTGCTTGGTGTTTTTTTTCAGTGCCTCCAAGAATAAACTACGTGTCGTCGAATGGACGTGTCGAAGTAAAGAAGGGATCATCAGTGCGGTTAGAGTGTAGAGCAAATGGTAATCCTCCACCTAAAATAACATGGTCGAGGAAAAACAATGTCCTGCCATCAGGAGATCAAACACTGGTGACTCCAGTGCTAACACTGGATAAGGTGGATAGGCATCAAGCTGGAGTGTACAAATGCACGGCAAGCAATGGGGTCGGACAAGACGTCACTCAAGACATAAATCTTCACGTTTTGTGTGAGTACGGTCCTTTTCTTTACGCTGCAATAACTCATTGAATATTTTTATCACATTGTTGAGCTTCCGGGAGACGGATGTATCACTTTACGACTGAACCCTTGTCGAAAAAGCTGTGTTTGAAGGAATAAAGTAACTTTAATTGTATTACTTGCTTGACGCAATTTCCCCTGAAATTTAACTAAACAGGTGTACAAAAGCGAGCTGTCGGAGCAGAATAGAACGAAAATTGTTATAGTTTTGGGGTATACAAAGTAACTAAGTGATAATGACGTAAACAAGAGTAGCGGAGGAGTCCCTTTGTCTTGCTTGTATTTAATAGACGGGGCCTCTTCATCAGTCTTGATCTCGAAACGACTTCACAGTTCATATCTACCTTTCGTAGAATCACGCGCGTTTCTTGCGCACGGTGAATGTGAAATGTGTTCCACATTGATTGTCTTATCGCTCGTGCCTAGATTTCCACAGTAAAGTTCTTGCATTTACTCCATATCACGATGGAATTGTTCCTTTTTGTCGTACCCGGACGTCTATTTTGTTAAACAAGTGATAACGAAATCATTTTATATTTCACAGGAAAATTACAATTCATTTAAAGTAAAGGTTGCGATTTTATTATTTTTCATAAGAAAACTAAACACAGCCTGTTTTAATCTACAACATAAACTGACTTTTTTTTATTGGGCGAAGTTTTTCGAAATTTAGTTAATTTAGGATAGCAACTTTGAATTTTACACTAGACTATACAAACCTTATATGGGTGCAAAGCTTGTCAAAAGATCTTTTGATTGGTACAATAATAAATAGAGAGTGCCGTTTGAAAAAAAATAGTTTTTGACATTTGTAATTTGTCATGTTTAAAAAATCGCAATAGGCACATGCCACTGAACAGGTTGTTAAGTAAACGCTTAAAATATGCCACAAACATTCAGGAATCAAACGGCGTTACTTACTGCAAGCATTTAGAAGGTACGAATTTTTAGACAGACCCCTGCATTTCAAAAATTCTGGTAAAAAAGCGCCTCAAATCAAAATTGATAACAGATAAATGAAAACAACCTGTATAAAAGTTATTTGTAATTTAGCGTAGAATCCAAAAATAAAATCAAACTGAGTAGATTCCATTTAAAAAAACATAACTTTAGTGTTTTTTAATATTGGGACCGCAATATTTTTAAAATGTGCAGCAGGAACGCAACTATAATCTAAAGAAAAGAAAAAGTTAGTATCTCCTAACATAAACAAGTTATAGAGCTTTTTCGGACCGTTGGGACAGCTTGTATATATAGAAAATAAATACAAATTAAAAAAAATTAGTGATCTTTATTTTTTTTGTTGCTCTGGCGCACTCACCATTTTTATCGTAAATTTGCCTTTTTTTTTAATCAATAGAAATAAAAATTTGTTATCCATTTGGCTTATTATAAACCACCGCCTCCTTAATGAAATGTATCAATATCCCGCCTGGGCATTTCATAAATAATGCATTCCGGGTTTTTTCTTAGTTACGAGGAAAAACTGAATGATTTTTAATAATTAACGAAAAATAAGGCAATTAATAAAAGCTGGGGAGGAACGATAGAACAAAACAAGATACGCCAGGGAGCATTGATATTATGAGGTTGAACCCTTTAAGCTAAAAAGACTGGATGTGTCAAATAATTTCCCCTGTTTAAAGCGCCAACGGGAATCAGTTGAACTCAAAAGATGCCCAGGCGAGAAAAGGATTATTTCTATCCAGACGGCGATGTTATAAACAATAAAGTATTTTGGTTACTTTTAAGGATTTTGAAGAAGCAGTGGTAAATTGAAACCTATTTTCTTTTCATCTACATCTTTTTCATTTTTTTATTGAGTTAGCAACATTGGGGAATACAAAGGCATAAAATAGGTACAGAATGTCTCAAATTTCATATTTTTATATCATATCTTATATATCTCATTTCATATGTTCAACTTAATTTTAGAATCAGGACAACTCTGAAAATTTTATTGTAGTTTTAATATAGCTTGTTCCAAATCTGGTGGCAAACTGACGTCAAAAATAACTGAATTTTGACACTAAACATATGTTTACTATTAAAAAAAAATATTCATAGGCGTCGTATGAAATAATATTTCAAAACCACTGTTACTCTTTAAAAAATTATAATAAGTAGGTACTCGTACATAAGATGAAGAATGATGAACAAATTATTAAATTGTTAACGCATTAAAAGGATTTTCAAAAATGATATTCCTAACAATCCATGTAATCAAAATTTTTAGAGAAAAAAATTACGCCCATGTATTTTTTTATCATAACCAAGTGGGCGCACTCCAAGTGTCTTTTCTGTCACTGTCAGTTCGCCACCAGGTATGGAATAAGCTCTATCTATATTTCAATGAATTAAAAATGAAAATGCCTATTTAGTAAATAGATTTATTTTATTTATTTAATAGATCTATGTATATGAGGTTGACAGTTTGAGTAGGTAATACAAGTTTATGGATAATATGTCATTAATCATCAGTACTTAGTCGTGCCATTTCCTTTATGTATCCGTAGTCGTGCCATTTCAATCACCGAACCTGTCACTTTTCATGATGTTTTTTTCTGTATGAACGAGTGGAGTATTTTGCCAGTCAAATTTTCTGGTAACTTCGTTTATTCAGAAATCATAACTTTGTGGTCTACTTGACTCCTGAAAATAAGTTAGAAAAGTGACAAGACAGGCTTAAGTAGCAAAAATTTTTGACCCATAAACTTTTTTCTAATTTTGTGAATACAGATTATGACTTTAATCTGTAGATATTGGTCAAATTAGTCTCTGCTGTAGCTAATAATTTTTTTTAAAATCATTTTATTAAATTTAAGAGTTAAGATCCGTCAAGAGAGCAGCTTTTACGTTGCTTAAATGGCATTTTTTTGAAAAGTTTTGAGGAATTCATGAAAATGAAATAATGAAGTGCCAGTTAACATTAATGTGCATTGATCTTGTATGTTTATAAAAAATTCTTCACTAGTGAATCAAATAAACATAATTTTGTCTTTTGGCAACGCGAAATGTGTATGCACGCAAACAATTTAATGTCAAAATTAGTTGTACTTGTAGTTCATTATTCAAATAGTGGTACAATTCGACAAGAGTTAGCTGTCCTTATAAATTTTCAACAAGTTAGTGATCCCGAAAAGGGTCGGATCATTGGCTTACGTGAGAAGTTTGTTCTTTGGAGAAATTGATAATCGTATTGGATGAAATGAAGCAGCCATATTAAGAGATCGCTGTTGATTCGAAAATCAATCAAGATTTAAGAGCTTTTAGAGTTGGCGCAAGTAGCATTTCGTTAAGAGGGCAATAAGTCATGATCACGATTTTTTGCAAACCGGTCGGAAAGCATGTTTCAAGCGGTAGGTGGGTGGTTGACGCTAATTTTATAGATATTAACGGCTTTGGAACATACCGTGTGAAAAGGTGGTAGTTAGAGATGATTTATTGGGTCCGAAGGTGAGAGAATCTTTTGTTTTCACCTTTCATGAGGTCGGCTGTTGAACAGGAGGAATGAGGGTTGCCGGCTGCAGTTAATCATCCGAGTGCCGGCTTTAATTTGGCGGGGCCATAAACCAGATTGAGTGGTGAGCGGCGTTATACATGCCCTGGGAACTCTTAAGCCTCGCCGCTAAAGAACTTGTGCACACTTGTGACTTAAGAGAATATCTACACCCGGGTTCTTATTCTGATAGATCCGGGGGTCGCTAAAGTGGCAGTAAGTCAACCCTTCAGATGAGTTGAGGTTTGTGTTTTCTAATGTAAGGGCGGTTGTCACTTAATGAACCCGGACTCGCACAAAGAACGGATATTCCAGCACGTAAAGTTTTATCCGAGAGCCACAAAACGTAAAACAAATTGTTTTTAATGCTGCAATGCGTTCGAATAAAATTAATTACGTGAAGTATGGTCTTAATGAAATTTGCAGAGTAGTGCTAGTTGCGCGGTAATTATTTAAAGAAAATTGCATGCTGAGGAAATGACTGTTTAAAAATTCGACTCTGCTACATTCGTTTCAGCGAAATGACTATCATCTAAACAATTAAGTGCAAATTACGTGAAAAACACGCTACTAGAGTAACCTTGTAATTTCCTACTAATAACTTTTTCCCAGAATGCAGTCTAATTGAATTTTAATATAATTTTATAGCGAGATAATTACTAGCGTCTTAAAAGGACTCCGAGGAAAATTCTCAAATGTGAATACAAACTAATGTTATCTTTCTACTTAGATTTAATTTTCTATGAAAGTTTCTTTACTTATTTGTAAAGTTGCAACTTTCTTTGTAATTCGACGGAAAGGTTATCCCAATTCGAAAATTCTTTGTACGTGTTTCCAGCAAAGTAAGTTTTTCCACTTTTGTTACTCACTCGCAAACTTCTTTTCACTTTTCCACTCCACGTTAAATATAAATGATTGAAATTTATAAATGTGTGAAGCTGGCTTTAGGATAAATAGGAAGCAAATAAAAAGTAAAAATCTTGTTAAAATGTATAATGCGGCAAAATTCTGCTTCAACGTTTTAATGTACTTACTTAACTTTTCCGCGACATTTCATTAACCAGACAGCTGCAACGCCACGTAAATAGTTTATGGATTTTTTACGAGGACTCTCCCAACACAAGAAAAGATACGAACGTGCTGATTTATGTCAAAAAATCGCAATCAATAAATCTATTAAAACAATAATTTCCTTTTTCCGTGATCACCGATCGTCCAAATCTGTGTTGCATGTGGAGCATACAACAAATAATGTTTAAGAATCTATGTGCAATGTGTTTAATAATCTCAAGTTTGATAGCTTGAAATAAAGTTTGTGTATGCTAGCAGAATTATTGCAGTAATCATTTTCATTTCTTTTTATTTCAAGTTTCAGTGTTATTCAAGCATGTAGTTTATTTCAATGCTCTACACTTGTTACTGTAGTATCATTGTTTGGTTACACATCATGATTAGGCTGTTAACAATGA